GGAAGGAACCGTCTAATCCCCCGGGACCGCGGCACCTGCACCCCGGCCCAGCTGGGATTAAAGGGGAGCGAGCTGGCCTCTGCGAAGATCAGAGGCTTCTTTATAGTGGCCTTGAAATAGGATTTCCTCAAGTGATAAGGGGCAGAGTGGGAAGATAATCTGGGGGGGGGCTGTTGGTACCTGCCCCACGTCAAACCCAGGGATGCTCTTTTGGGTCACCTGCCTCAAACCAGGTGCCCCAGACCTGGAGGGAGGTGGCAGGGGGGACCCGGGTACCCTGTTCTCCTCGTCCCAGGGGTGGCTGGTCCCTCCCCGTTATCCCCCTCCATCTCCAGCACCCGCTGAGGTGACGCCGAGACAAGGATGGGGGCTTGGTGCCCACCCGCTCGCTGCCCTCGGCTCCCAGGGCGGGCGGCGCCCCTCGCGGCTCCAGGGGCTGCTGGCCCCTCTCGTCAATGGACCAGGGAGCTGTGGCCGTTTCAACTCATCCTCGCGTCACCTAATTCCAGTGTCCCTCCTGTAAGGAGTTTCCTAGTGCCCAGTTTCTGCTGATTTCCAGCATGGAAAGTTGTGGAAAATTCCCTTTGTGTCTTTTCCAGCCCTAACAGGGCAGAGAAATGTCCCCTCTGCAACGGGCATCCTGCACCTCTGCTACTCACAGCAAATCCAGGGAAAAAACCTCCAAACCAGCCAAATGAAGGCTAAACAGCTCCTTACACAGAATAAAACACCCGTGCGCTGCTTGACAGGGTACACCGACACCTTTATCTGCACAGAACAACCTGTCACCATGAGATCCCGATTCCTCGCCCCACGCCACAACCCTAAAGCACCAACGGCCCCAAAAATCCTCCCGAGAGCGAGATGAACCAAGGGGGGTTGCAGGAGGAGCAGCAGCACAGGTGGGACCTCACGAACATCCACATCGTGTCAAAAAGCCTCAAGTTAAATACCACGAGCTCTTCCTCCGACCACGCCATCCGTCACCCACCCAGCTTACTGTAAATATACTGTTGCTCTAATGCAATTAAATATTTAATACTTGGGGAAGGAAAAAAAAAAAAGTCCCATGCCTGCTTGTCTCTTTCAATAATCATTTCGGTTTAACTCGCGATGACCATAATGTAGTTCATTCTCAAATCATGCAAAATTTAAGAAAGTATTTTAGACTATCTTAAAGTCTCCCCTCTGCTCCCAAAATAGCCTTTGCCTGTTCAGGCACACCCAATATAGAGCACAGGAGAGCATCGGGGTCATCGTAAACCCAACGAGATGCTTTAGTGACGTGCTTTTTCAGGCTGCTGCTCAGAAATGGTTTGCGGAAGGACCGCAATAAATTTCTACTTAGAACTAAGTCTCTGTGCCCGAAGAGCGGGGTGGGTGCCGCACAGCCCGGGAGGTCCCACGGGACTGAGACGTCCACACCTTCCGTGAGAGATGTGCTGCTGAAGAGAAGTGCGATGGAGCGAAGCCATCGCGTGCCTCCGCCAAGGGCTCAGGAAAGGGACCGTGCTTGAAGGAAGGGACGCGATTTGTAGAAGAGAGGGAAGGGCGGGAGGTCACGAGCCAGAGAGGGTTTGGGGCTGGGGACGTCCCGCCGGGGCACTCACCTGGGATGGCCCTTAACTCCGGTTCCTCCATCCCCACACGCCGCGGTCCACAGGCAGAGCATTCCCCAAACTGAAGGTCTCCTTGTGGGAGCTCCCCGTTGACCCCGGGATTAACACCCAGGCACGGCCCCGCGGCGGGTGCTGGTGGTCCCCAACGAGGAGGAAAAGGCTGGGCCATCCCCGCCGCTGTTCACGGACCCCCAAGCCCCGAACATGGCCCATGTGCTGGTTCCTACGCGGTGCCTTGGGGACCTGCCCTGCTCCTTGCCATGTCCAGTTTCTGCCCAAGGGACAGACAAACCCTCCCCGCCACAAAACCTAATGCAGCCAGCGCTTAATCCACTTTATTTGGGGATTAAACTTGCCTAGAGCTGAGCAGGAGACTCGGTTCCTCCCTTAGAGACCACGACTTGGCTTGAGGCACCGCAGCAGCTTCTGGGCTGCAGAACACACCTGAGCCAGGAGACAGGAGGAGCTGCCTACAGACCCCAGAATGAAACTCGAGGTGCCCTGGGGTGGGATCGACCATCACACCGATCCCCAGGACCCCCTGGCCAGAGACCAGGATGGCAGCAGGGCTGGAGTGGGGTTTGGAGGAACCCAGAGGTCACCAGCCCCCGGCGAGGTGCCAAGGCGTCTCTTCGCCTCCTGCCCTGCCCCTCTCCAGCCCATCATGGACCCACAGCAGAAAGAAGTTTAATGGCTGCGGCCCCTCCGCCCCGGGCAGGCAGCAATAATGGAAAACAAATTGCTGAACTTGGGAACGTTTCAAGCACTTTAGCCTTCCAGGACACCAGACTGCTGATGAAAACCCAGCTTTGCAGGCACCATCTTAATGACAGGCCAAATTTCAAAGGCTTGCAAACTATTTCTTTTGCTGCCCCACCCCCTCAATAAAAGGTTGCATCAGAAAGAGATATTTCCATAATTTATAGTATGGGTATTTCACTGGGGAGACTCACTAATCTGTACTTACAGATACATTTAAGAAAATGCATCCTCCCACAATCCTGTGCCATTTACGACTATTGGCACAATCTGTAATACTCAGTCTTCAATTAAGGGACACCTTAGGGTTCATTATCACACAATTGCTCCCTGTGAACCATGCCAAATGCTGTTTTGGCACAGAGCTTGGAAGATGAATTAGAAGGAAGTCTTCTCGGTAATGCCCGCTCCCAATTCCCATCAGCAGCCTTTATGCCCTGCTCTAGCCATTTTTTCCCCTCTCTCCCCTCTTTCCAAGTGGCTTTTACTATCCCATCTTTCAATGTCTCTCTTGATTCTCTGGAGGTATATTTAGAGATGCTACATCTCCTTTTCTTCCGGCTCTCAACATGCCTCCCGCTCCCGGCTTTGCAGATGGGATCTTTTCCTCTCTCCCTCCTCCCCCCCCCGCAACTGCCCTACAGCTGGCTGCGGAGCAGTGGATGGAGCTATTTTAGGTTGGAGGAGCACAAAAGTCACATTTTACAAGAAAGGAATCTCTGAAGGGGCTAGAGTTAACACCAAACTCGGCCTGGATACAAGAAGTTCCGGCTCCTTAACATATCTAATAAAGAGAACAGCCAGGAGCCGCGTCCCTCCGCACCCCTCGCCCGCCCTGGGCCAGCGCTGCTCCAGCCACCCAGTTCGCAGGGAGGGTGCAGGGTGGAGGGGGAATCCTGGACAGATTCAGCCGCAAAGACAAAGTTGTGGAAGAGCAACAAGTTCAGAGTATTAAAACCAGGGGCTGCCGCCTCCTCGGCAAGTAATAAAACGTTTATATGGCTGTAAGTCCATGCCGCTCTGGCTTATAGAAAACTTCCCTTTATAAAAACAGATCCTTCTGGCCCAAACAGCTACAATTACAGCACCTGACTGTGGAAATCCTCAGTGTCACGGTGCCAAGAGACACTTTGACACGACATTAATAGAGTTTCACTGGAATTAAGGCTCAAGCTGACTTCGCTGATCCTCCCAAACGACACAGGGCAAGCAGGAAGGCGAGAGGAGCCGGGGGCTGCGGGCTCGCTGCGTGGGGACCTCGGCAAGCAGAGAAGGAGCGAACGGAGTCAAACAGACTGGAAATACTTCATCCACAAGATATCTTGTGGAAATTTTATTATATAGAGTGTAAAATGCAACTGTCAGTCAAATAAAAAGAACACTTTTTTTTTTTTAAACACCATGCTCAACATTATCCAATTGCGTTTCTTTATAGTTAGACATTTCAAGCATAAGGAAAAATAAGGAAAGAACCCAAGAACAGTAACTTCAGTACATTTCAAAACGGAATGTCCCGCAGGGCAATTAAAAATGCAAGAAAAAATAGCTTCAATTCCGTTTTTCCTTTAAAAATACACTGTTATCTGTACAAGAAACACTACAGTAAACATTGGAAATCATATTATCCCTTTTATTAAATCAAAATTATTTAGCTCATACTGTGGTTAATACTAGATTCATTTATTTCTCTAGGTAATTTGACAAATATTAGATAAGAAAATATTTAAAAGAAATGAAAAAGCAAAAAACACCTTGGAATTAAAAAATAGTTACTACCTTTTATATGGTTTTATGTTCCACAGTGTTTGTTAAAGGTACTAATAGCAGATTCATTTTAATATTAAAAATAACAGTATTTATATTTCTGAGAGCATAGAGGAAAGTTTTTTTGCTTTTCTTTTTCTTCTTTTTTTTTTTTTTTTAAACAAGCTTGGAGGTCTTAGATACATAAATGCAACTAGCAATGGAGACATGAAAAAATGTATTGCTAAAAAAATTAACACATTTTTATATTACCCCTTTAGACTCTAGAAATTATACAAACCCTACAAAATGCCCCCCCACCCATAACTTGCCTGACAGCAAAACAGTAATTGTCTCAATACAGAATTCACATAATTAATTACAATACATATCATAGTTCAGTTTTTTAAAAAAGGCAATAAAATCAAAGACAGCCAAGGTACAAGAAATTAGAAGTAAAACATTTAATGAATTTACATATTTAAGAATATTTAAATACTGTTTAAAATTTTTTTTCTTTTTAGGATTTGTTACATACCACCTAAGACTTCCAAGCCACTCTTTCTGTTGCAACAGAAAAGATCGAAAATTAAAAGGAAAAAAAAACCACACACAAAAACCCACATGTTGAAATGTCACAGCTCTGGGGTGCGTTTTGGTGCCTGCGAATTCTCTGGCTTCTCTCCAAAAAGAATCCTGGAGGTTTGTTTTTGTTTTTTGTTTCTTTTTTTTTTTACAAATTTGGAAACAAAATTACCAGCACGTCCATAAGTTTAGTACATTACTAATTGTTCCTGATTCTTAGAAAAGTTCAGTATAGATTATCCTACAACTAGTGTTTCACAAACAAACAGAAAAGTCTTCATCAAAATGTTGCAAATCTAGAAACCTCTGTTACAAAAAGGTTTTCTTCCACAATGATTCCAAGGAAAAAAAAAAAAAAATTGCCACGAGGACCTTGTTCTACTGCTCCTAGAGAGGGGAAAAAAGGAAAAGTTACTCAGCGGCAACAAATTCTTAATGCTGTCGAGCCCTCCTCCCCCGACACAGACAGGTCTCTCGTTCCCGTTCCAGCCGAGCAGGGTATAGACCTCAACCGATGCTTCAAACCGCTGTCGAAGAGATCTCTGCCCTACCGCCTGCTATCCCTGAGCTCTCCTTCCAGGGGTTTGTGCCTCTTACCGAACAAGATCTCTCTTCTCTAGAGGGCCAGAGAGGAGTGATGAGAACTCCCTTTCATCGCTGCTTCTAGGTCACACTTGGCGAGCGCCCGCGGCAAGCGCCGATTCCTGCACCCGGCTCGCCCCACTCGACCTCAGCGGTGCTGGAGAGCAGCGGCGGGGGGGCGGCGGCCGCCCGGGGGC